TTCCAGATTCATCCTTGTCCCTACAAAGGACAAGAAAGAGTCATTTTTTGTGGCTACATAGTATTCCATGGTGTATATGTGCTGCATTTTCTTTATCCAGTCTATCATTGATGGGCATTTGGGCTGGTTCCAGGTCTTTGCTATTGTAAACAGTGCTGCAATGAACATACATGTGCATGTGTCTTTATAATAGAACAATTTATAATCCCTTGGGTATATGCCCAGTAATGGGATTGCTGGGTCAAATGGTATTTCTATTTCTAGGTCCTTGAGGAATTGCCACATTGTCTTCCACAATGGTTGAACTAATTTACACCCCACCAACAGTGTAAAAGTGTTCCTATTTCTCCACATTCTCTCTAGCATGTGTTTTCTCCAGATTTTTTAATGATCGCCATTCTAACTGGCATGAGATGGTATCTCAATGTGGTGTTGATTTGCATTTCTCTAATGACCAGTGATGATGAGCATTTTTTCATATGTTTGTTGGCCTCATGAATGTCTTCTTTTGAAAAGTGTCTGTTAATATCCTTTGCCCACTTTTGAATGGGTTTGTTTTTTTCTTGTAAATCTGTTTTAGTTCTTTGTAGATTCTTGATATTAGCCCTTTGTCAGATGGGTAGATTGCAAAAGTTCTTTCCCATTCTGTTGGTTATCAGTTCACTCTAATGATTGTTTCTTTTGCTGTGCAGAAAATCTTAAGGTTAATTAGATCCCATTTGTCTATTTTGGCTTTTGTTGCCATTACTTTTGGTGTTTTAGTCATGAAGTCTTTGCCTATGCCTATGTCCTGAATGGTATTGCCTAAGTATCCTTCTAGGGTTTTTATGGTGTTAGGTCTTATGTTTAAATCTTTAATCCATCTAGAGTTGATTTTAGTGTAAAGTGTCAGGAAGGGGTCCAGTTTCAGCTTTCTGCACATGGCTAGCCAATTTTCCCAACACCATTTATTAAACAGTTCTTTAATTGCTTGTTTTTGTCAGGTTTGTCAAAGATCAGATGGTTGTAGATGTATGGTGTTGCTTCTGGGGCCTCTGTTCTGTTCCACTAGTCTATATCTCTGTTTTGGTACCAGCACAATGCTGTTTTGATTACTATAGCCTTGTAGTTTAGTTTGAAGTCAAGAAGCATGATGCCTCCAGCTTTGTTCTTTTTGCTTAGGATTGTCTTGGCTATGCGGGCTCTCTTTTGGTTCCATATGAAGTTTAAAGTGGTTTTTCAAGTTCTGTGAAGAAGGTCAATGGTAGCTTGATGGGGATAGCATTGAATCTATAAATTACTTTGGGCAGTGTGGCCATTTTCATGATATTGATTCTTCCTAGCTATGAGCATGGAATGTTTTTCCATCTGTTTGTGTCCCCTCTTATTTACTTGAGCAGTGATTTGTAGTTCTCCTTGAAGAGGTCCTTTACATCCTTTGTTAGTTGCATTCCTAGTATTTTATTCTCTTTGTAGCAACTGTGAATGGGAATTTGCCCATGATTTGGCTCTCTGTTTGTCTCTTATTGGTGTATAGGAATGCTTGTGATTTCTGCACATTGATTTTGTATCCTGGGACTTTGCTTAAGTTACTTATCAGCTTAGGGAGATTTGGGGCTGAGACAATGGGGTCTTCTAAATATACAATCATATCATCTGCAAATAGAGACAATTTGATTTCCTCTTTTCCTAATTTAATACCTTTTATTTATTTTTGTTTGCTGATTGCTCTGGCTAGAACGTCCAGTACTATATTGAATGGGAGTAGTGAGAGAAGGCATCCTTGCCTAGTGTCAGTTTTCAAGGGGAATGCTTCCAGTTTTTGCCCGTTCAATATGATATTGTCTGTGGGTTTGTCACAAATAGCTTTAATTATTTTGAGATATGTTCCATCGATACCTAGTTTATTGAGGGGTTTTAGCATAAAGTACTGTTGAATTTTATCAAAGGCCTTCTCCGCATCTGTTGAGATAATCATGTGGTTTTTGTTGGTCCTGTTTATGTGATGGATTACAGTTATAGATTTGCATATGTTGAACCAGCCTTGCATCCCTCGGATGAAGGCTACTTGATTGTGATAGATAAGCTTTTTGATGTGCTGTTGCATTACGGTTTGCCAGTATTCTATTGAAAATTTTTGCATCTATGTTCATCATGGATATTGGCCTGAAGTTTTTTTTATTTGTGTCTCTGCTGGATTTTGGTATCTGGATGATGTTGGTCTCATAAAATGAGTTAGGGAGGGATTCCTTTTTTTGCATTGTTTGGAATAGTTTCAGAAGAAATGGTACCAGCTCCTCTTTGTACATCTTGTAGAATTTAATTGCGAACCCATCTAGACCTGAACTTTTTTTGGTTGGTAGGCATAATTGCTGCCACAACTTCAGACCATGTTATTGGTCTATTCAGGGCTTCAATTTCTTCCTGGTTTAATCTTGGGAGGGTGCAGGTGTCCAGGATTTTATCCATTTCTTCCAGATTTACTGGTTTATGTGCATAGAGTTATTTGTAGTAATCTCTGATGGTAGTTTGTATTTCTGTGGAATCAGTGGTGATATCCCCTTTATTGTTTTTTATTGCATCTATTTGATTCTTCTCTCTTTTCCTTTTTATTAGTCTGGCTAGTGGTCTGTGTATTTTGTTGATCTTTTTTTTAAAAAAAAAAAAAAACAGCTCCTGGATTTTTTGATTTTTTGAAGGGTTTTTTTTTTTTTTTTTTTTTTTTTAATGTGTATCTATCTTCTTCAGTTCTGCTCTGACTTTAGTTATTTCTTGTCTTCAGCTAGCTTTTGAGTTTTTGATCTTGCTCCTCTAGCTCTTTCAATTTTGACAATAGGGTGCTGATTTTAGATCTTTCCTCACTTCTCATGTGGGCATTTATTGCCATAAATTTCCCTCTAGACACTGCTTTAAATGTGTCCCAGAGATTCTGGTACACTGTGTCTTCATTCTCATTGGTTTCAAAGAACATCTTTATTTCTGCCTTCATTTCATTGTTTATCCAGTCATCATTCAAGACCAGGCTTTTCAGTTTTCATGTAGTTGTGTGGTTTTGAGTGTGTTTCTTAATCCTAAGTTCTAATTTGATTGCACTGTGCTCTGAGAGACAGTTTGTTATGATTTCCATTCTTTTGCATTTGCTGAGGAGTGATTTACTTCCAATTATGAGGTCAGTTTTAGAATAAGTGTGATGTGGTGCTGAGAAGAATGTATATTGTATGGATTTGGGGCGGAGAGTTCTGTAGATGTCTATTAGGTCCACTGGTCCAGATCTTCATTCATGTTCGGGATATCCTTGTTGATTTTCTGTCTCGTTGATCTGTCTGATATTGACAGCAGAGTGTTGAAGTCTTCCACTATTATTGTGTGGGAGTCTGAGTCTCTTTATAGGTCACTTATAACTTGCTTTATATATCTGGGTGCTCCTGTATTGGATGCATATATATTTAGGATAGTTAGCTCTTTTTGTTACCTTGATCCTTTTGCCTTTATGTAATGTACTTCTTTGTCTTTTTTGATCTTTGTTGGTTTAAAGTCCATTTTATTAGAGACTAGGATTGCAACCCCAGCTTTTTTTTTTTTTTTTTTTTTTTTGGCTCTTCATTTGCTTGATATATCTTCTTCCATCCCTTCATTTTGAGTCTAGGTGTGTCTTTGCACGTGAGATGAGGCTCCTGAATACACATACTGATGGGTCTTGGGTTTTTATCCAGTTTGCCAGTCTGTGTCTTTTGATTGGGGCATTTAGGCCATTTATATTTAACATTAATATGATTATGTGTGAATCTGATCCTGCCATTTTGTTACTGGCTGGTTATTTTGCCCATTAGTTGATGCAGTTTCTTCATTGTGTCATTGGTCTTTACCATTTGGTACAATTTTGCAGTGGCTGGTACTGGTTGTTCCTTTCCATGTTTAGTGCTTCCTTCAGGAGCTCTTGTAAGGCAGGTCTGGTGGCAATGAAATCTCTCAGCATTTGCTTGTCTGTAAAGATTTTATTTCTCCTTCATTTATGAAGCTTAGTTTGGCTGGATATGAGATTCTGTGTTGAAAAGTCTTTTCTTTAAGGATGTTAAATATTGGCCTCATCTCTATTCTGGCTTGTAGGGTTTCTGCAGAGCAATTCACTATGAGTCTGATGGGCTGCCCTTTGTCGGTGACCCATTCTTTCTCTCTGGCTGCCCTTAGCATTTTTTTCTTCATTTCAGCCCTGGTGTTTGGGATGATTATGTGACTTGGGGTTGCTCTTCGATGAGGAGTATCTTTGTGGTGTTCTTTGTATTTCCTAGATTTGAATGTTGGCCTGCCTTGCTAGGTTGGGGAAGTTCTCCTGGATAATAAACTGAAGAATGTTTTCCAGCTTGGATTCATTCTCCCTGTCACATTCAGGTACACCAATCAAGCGTAGATTAGGTCTTTTCACATAATCCCATATTTCTTGGAGGCTTTGTTCATTTCTTTTCACTCTTTTTTCTCTAACCTTGCCTTCTTGTTTTATTTCATTGAGTTGATCTTCAGTCTCTGATATGCTTTCTTCTACTTGATCGATTTGGTATTGAAACTTGTGTATGCTTCACGAAGTTCTCGTGCTCTTTTTCAGCTCCATCAAGTTGTTTATGTTCTTCTCTAAGCTGGTTATTCTAGTTAGCATTTTGTCTAACCTTTTTTCAAGGTTCTTTGAGTTGGGTTAAATCATGTTCCTTTAGCTTAGAGAAGTTTGTTATTACCCACCTTTTGAAGCTGCTTCTGTCACTTCATCCAACTCATTCTGCATCCTGTTTTGTTCCCTTGCTGGTGAGGAGTTGTGATCCCTTGGAGGAGGAGAGGCATTCTGGTCTTTGATGATTTCATCGTTTTTGCCATGAAACAATGGCAAAAACGGTTTCTTCCCATCTTTGTGGGTTTATCTGTCTTTAACCTTTGAAGTTGGTGATTTTGGATGGGATGTCTCAGTGCATGTCCTTTCTTCTGATGTTGAAGTTATTTCTTTCTATTTTTTATTTTTCCTTCTAACTGGTCCCTCTGCTGTAGGACTGCTGGAGGTCCACTCCAGACCTTGCTTGCCTGGGAATCACCTGCTGGGGCTGCAGAGCAGTAAGGATTGCTGCCTGATCTTTCCTCTGGTAGCTTTGTCCCAGAAAGTTACCCACCAGGTGTCAGCCTGATCTCTCCTGTATGAGGCATCTTTGTTATGCAGGGAGCCTCTTGAGGAGGCAGTCTGTCTCTTGTCTGCCTTCAGAGGTGCTGTTGGGCTGCTTTGGGCTCAGCCTGGCTGCTGTGTAGGCTTCCTCTGGCTTTTGTTTACCCAGGTGAGATTAGACCTGCCTTCGCAATGGCGGACACCTTTTCTTCCCACCAAGCTCTATCATCTTGGGTCAAGCTTGGACTGATGTGCTGGCTGCAAAACTCTCAAGTGAGAGGGCTTCAGTTTGCTGGTCTTTGTGGGAGTGGGACCTGCCAAACTGTATCACCTGTCTCCCTGCTTTCACCTCTCCCTCTTCCTGGGGGGCAGGTAGACCCATCCTGCAGGCGCTCTTGGCACTAGTCAAAACTTCTGCCCAGATCTGTGCTGACAACTCATGGCACCAGCCAGAGCTGTCACTCAGATCTGTGTTGGTAACTCATGGTGCTTTGCAGCCCAGCAGTGTTCTCCTGGAATGTGGGTTGCAACGGCCATGGGAGAAGTGCAGTATCTGAACCGGAGTGCCAAGGGGGTAACGTCCTCCATCTTCCATCCAGTTGCACTTCCTGGGTAGGGCAGTGCCCTACCCTGCCATGGTTTGCCCTCCTTGGGCTATACCCACTGTCCAGCCAGTCCCATTAAAATGAACCTGGTACCACATTTGGAAATGCAGATATCACTTGCCTTCTGCATCTCTCTCACTGGGAACTGCCTCTGGAGCTGTTCCTATTTGGCCATCTTTGCAGTCCCAAAGTAATTTTTATAATGTAACTCAGATATTTTTACAACCCTATTTAAAAACTTCCCATAGTTTCCAAAGCTGCTGGAATTAATCTAAAGCCCTGACTATGGAGCCTATAAAGCTCTACCTGATTTGATACTTGGTTTCTTCTCTATCTTCATTATCCTCTGCTAGCCCATTTGCCCACTATGCTTAATAATCCCATTTTAATTTTTCACCTGCATTCCAGGCCCATCTATTCAACAATGTACTTTACGTGTATACTTTGATGTCTCACAAGCATCTCAAACTTAACCTGTCTACACACACACACACACACACACACACACCTTGAGCCTTTACCACCCATCTAATTTTTCAGAGCAGAATTAGGTGTTGCCCTTGTTTTTCTTCTCTGTGAGGCCTGTTGTTTTTATTTCAAAGAAAACCTTGAAGTCATCCCTTTTCCCCAGTTCCATTGCAAATGCTTTAGTTAAAGTCACCTTCATCACTGGCTTTGACTAATAGATTAAACATAGTTTTTGGTCTCCGCATTTCTACATTGCAACAGTTCACATAAGTCTTATCTTCAATACCAGTGATAGCATGCCCTTCAGCATGTATGCTTTGTCGATTTGTGTACATTAAAAGAGTAACATGCTTTTGTGAAAAGTTGAGAGGTGTTGTCCATCTGGTGAGAATACAGGCCGGGCTTTGGAAATTTCTTAAGAAAATGTCGAACTTGACAATTATATTTTTGGCATCCAAAATGTGTAGTTATAGCACAGCATCTGTATTAGTCCATTTTCATGCTGCTGATACATACCTGAGAGTGGGTAATTTATAAAGAAAAAGGGTTTAATGGACTTACAGTTCCACATGACTGGGGATGCCTCACAATCATGGCAGAAGGCAAGGAGGAGCAAGTCATATCATACATGGATGGCAGTAGGCAAAGACAGATAGGTTGTACACAGAAACTCCCCTTTATAAAACCATCAGATCTCATGAGACTTATTCACTATCATGAGAACAGCATAGGAAAGACCTGCCCCTGTGATTCAATTACCTCCTACTGGGTCCTTCCCACAACACGTGGGAATTCAAGATGAGATTTGAGTGGTGACACAGCCAAACCACATCATTCTGCCCCAGGCGCCTCCCAAATCTCATGTGCGCACATTCCAAAATCAATCATGCCTCACCCACAGTCCCCCAAAGTCTTAACTCATTTCAGCATTAGCTCAAAAGTCCACAGTCTAAAGTCTCATCTGAGACAAGGCAAGCCTCTTCTGCCTATGAGTCTGTAAAATCAAAAGCAATCTAGTTACTTACTAAATACAATGGGGCACAGATATTGGGCAAATACAGGCATTCCAAATGGAGAAATTGGCCAAAACAAAGGGGTTACAGGCCCCATGCAAATCTGAAATACAGCAAGGCAGTCAAATCTTAAAGCTCTAGTATGATCTCCTTTGACTCCATGTCTCACATCCAGGTCATGCTCATGCAAGAGGCAGATTCCCACAGTTTTGGGCAGCTCTACCCCTGTGGCTCTGTAGGGTACATCCTCCCTTCTGGCTGCTTTCACGGGCTGGCATTGAGCGTCTGTGGCTTTTCTGGGTGAATGGTGCAAGCTCTCAGACCCATTCTGGGGTCTGGAGGATGGTGGCCCTCTAATGACAGCTCCAGTAGGCAGTACCCCAGTAGGAAGCCTGTGTGAGGCTGTGACCCCATATATGCCTTCACACTGCCCTAGCAGAGGTTCTCCATGAGTGCCCTGCCCCTGCAGCAAACTTCTGCCTGTGCATCTAGAATTTCCATACATCTTCTCGAATCTAGGTGGAGGTTCCCAAACTTCATTCTTGACTTTTGTGCACTCATAGGCTCAACACCATGTGTAAGCTGCCAAGGCTTGGGACTTGCACACTATGAAGCCACAGCTCGAACTCTACATTGGCCCCTTTTAGCCACAGCCGGAGCAGCTGGGACACAGGGCATCAAGTCCCTAGGCTGCACATAGCATGGGGACCCTGGGCCTGGCCCATAAAACCATTTTTTTTTTTCCTTGTAAACCTCTGGGCCTATGATGGGAGGGGCTGCAGCAAAGATTTCTTACAAGCCTTGGAGTTATTTTCTTCATTGTCTTGGTGATTAACATTCAGCTCCTGTTTACTAATGCAAATTTCTGTAGCTGGCTTGAATTTCTCTTTAGAAAATGAGTTTTTCTTTTCTATCACATTGTCAGGCTGCAAATTTTCCAAACTTTTATGCTCTGTTTCCCTTTTAAAACTGAGCACCCAAGTCACATCTTGAATGATTTGCTGCCTAGAAATTCCTTCCACCAGATAACCTAAATCCTCTTTCTCAAGTTCAAAGTTCTAGAAATCTCTAAGGCAGAGGTAAAATGCCACCAGTCTCTGCTAAAACACAACAAGAGTCACCTTTGCTCCAGTTCTCAACAAGCTCCTCATCTCCATCTGAGACCACCTCAGCCTGGATTTCACTGTCCATATCATTATCAGCATTTTGGTCAAAGCCATTAAAAAATCCCTAGGGAATTTTAAACTTTCCCATGTTTTCCTGTCTTCTTCTGAGTCCTCCAAACTGTTCCAACTTCAGTACCAAATTTGCTTTTACATTTTTTGATATCTTTTCAGCAGCACTCACTCCTGGTACCAATTTACTACATTAGTCCATTTTCATGCTGCTGATGAAAGACATAACCAAGACTGGGTAATATATACAGGAAAAATAGTTTAATGGACTTACATACGGTTTCACATGGCTGGGGATGCCTCACAATCATGGTAGAAGGCAAGGAGGAGCAAGTCACATCTTACATGGATGGCAGCAGGCAAAGACAGATAGCTTGTGCAGAGAAACTCTCCCTTATAAAACCATCATATCTCATGAGACTTATTCACTATCATGAGAATAGCACAAGAAAGACCTGCCCAAGGTTCAATTACCTCCCACTGGGTCCCTCCCACAACATGTGGGAATTCAAGATGGGATTTGGGTGAGGACACCACCAAACCATAACAGCTTCCATATTGTTCCAACTCCAAATTCAAAGATAAAGCCTAATAATGCATAGTTTGATGATTACAACTCAGGGCTATCCTGGAAAATTCAGGCCAAAAAGTTAGGAACATATACTCTGCAGTAGGAAGCAGAAAATATCTGGGCTATTGCTAGGAATTCTTTAACTAAAACCTTTATCTTTCTAAAAGTCAGAAGAGCAGGTATTGTTAAAAAAAAAAAAAAGAAAAGAAAGTTTACCTTTTTTATTCTACCCAAGAAGTAAAAAAAAAATGGAGCTAAGTAAAATCTTCATCTCCCTTTTCTCAGAACTCCTTAAAGAGCTTAGGGAAATGTGGTGTGAGCAACAATAGTTCCCTAGATTACTCCACTTTTTTCTGTTATTAAATAAGGAAATTTTATACCTTGAATCTTATATCAACAGTTGCTATATAAAAACCACTCTAAAGCTCAATGGCTTAAAACAACCATTTATTTAGCTCACAATTCTGGTGGTTACCAGTTTTGGTTGTTTGGAGCTGGGAAGTTCTTCTGCTGGCCTCTCCTGGGATTGCTCATGCAACTACCATTACCTGGTGTCTCGACTGGGTGGGATGGCCTAAAGAAGCTTTCTTCAGTTGTCTGGCAGGTGGTGCTGACTGTCACCTGGGCTTCTCTCCAAGGGTGGTTTTTATCCTTAAGAGGTCTCATCTATGCTTTTATCCATAAGAAGGCTAACTTGGGCTAGAGTGTGAGAGCAGAAGCTGCAAGGCCTCTTGAAGCCCAGGCTAGGAAGTCAAACAAAGTCACTTCAGTTGGCCAAAGCTGGCCGCAGAGGTAGCTCAAATTCAAGGGGAAGAGAAATATACTCTACCACTTGATGAGGGAGTGATGAAATCACATTGCCAAGAGTTAGCATGCAGGAATGAAAAGAATTGGGGCCATTATTGCCAGAAATCTATACAACTTGATTACTTTACCCCTTTAGAGAAATACTTTCTCTGGGTTATTAGATTGGTGCAAAAGTAATTGCAGTTTTTGTATTACTTTCAATGGCAAAACCACAATTACTTTCATACCAAAATAATACTTCATATATGTATATCTATATATATGGATATGTATGTGTATATGTATGTGGATTACATACTGTAACTAAGAAATGTACATGTATTCACAAATAGCATGCTTGTGTATAAATAAATGGTTTACTAATATGTAGGTATGTATTAGTGAACCTACAAACATTTGGACAGGAGTTGTTTGTGGTTGTCTATTATGTTGTCTAAATGCATTTTTAAAAGGATCCATGCAATAAATGCATAAATATGTCTTAGAAGATGTGTAACTCTTAAATAAATAATATTATTCTTTTGTTCAGATAAGCAATGCATAATTCATCACTAGCCCTTATTGTGGCATCTAGAAAGCTGAGAGTTAAATCTAATGTCGTCGTCCATGCTTGATATCTTAGATATAATTGTCTTTCACTTAGAATTAGTTTCCTATTTCAATTATTAACTTCCTTATTGTGTATGTATATTTGTTATAAGCTACTTTACTCATTTTTGAAATGAGATAAAATATAATCAAAACATTAAAAACTATAACAATGTGCCCATTGTAGTATCAGCTGGATTTTCATTTTAGAGAATAATGATAATGCACTCTAGAAACACTGGAGAACCAAATGTTGAGATCATTTCACTTTGGTAATATTTTTAGTCTTAGCTTATGCAATAAAAATCGTTCAAATAGTGGAGAAGAGTGCCCTAGAGAGCTACTGGACTCAAATGCTTATAGTTTAATGCATTCTGTTTCTCTCACTTCACAATCAATCATCTAGGAGAGCCATGATGATTCATCCTTAAAAAACAGTCATTGATTTTATATCTTCATTTTCAACCTGCTCTCCAATTCACCTCTTCCTTCTTTCTTCTAATTCAGAAAGGAGTCTTCATGGAGAAACAAATAATTTGGTTATTGGCCAATATCAGGTTATTATCTCACATGTGAGAGGTATCTTAAAATAAAGCTACTTTTTCCTCTTTTGATTCTTGTCATTATTTTCAGTAAGTTTCTGAATTATAAACTCCCAGTTCATACCATGCATCATATTTTTCTTTGATTTCCTTTTCTCTGCAAAAGAATCCAAATATATTTCTCCACAAAACAGTTGCATTTGTCTTGCCCTTTTTAGACTAGAAGTGCAAATCATTCAAATGGGTATGGAGGCTACACCATTTTAGCTGTTTAATTATTCAATCACACTTCACTGATTCAGGGATGGCTTATCTGGCAAACTCTACCACCCAGGGCACAGTCACCAACCTGTAAGTAGTCAAAGAATTGCCAGGAAAGTGTTATATCACATTCAAGTTGTCAATTTTAAAAGACATGGAAAGATTTCCACCAAAATTGTTACTGTTAATGTTCTTATTAGTTTCTGTGCTTTAAGGAGTTAAGTGCAATTACTGGGGAAATTAATTGGTTGGAGGACTCATTCATCATTCTTTCACCACAATTTTATGGAGTGGGCACTACACACCAGGTGCTGACTAGGAGCTGGATCCTCCATAGTGATGAACAAAACAAACACCACTGCCATCCCGGTGGAGCTTGCAGGATTGCAGTGGAGATGCACAGTCACTAAGAAAAAAAAAAAGAAGTAGAACGTGAGGTATAACAGAGAATCCTGAGTGGGAGTGAGGAAGTAGAGAGCATGATGATTTATTTAGAGTAATTAGGTAGGGCCAGAAGCCCCCAAAGAGGATGGAACCAGGAATGTGAAAAGGGAAGGAAGGGTGCAATAGCAGAAACAACAGCCAAAGGATTTGAGGTAGGAAAGAGATTGGCAATGCAGAGGTGCTGCAAGGAGGCTGGTGTGATATGAATATGGGTTAGAAGTGAGAACAAAATGACTTGGGATTGAGGAAGAAATTGTTGGATCATGGAGGGCTGTGCAGACCACAGTAATGAGTTTGGATTTTATTCAAAGTGTCGTAGGAAGCCTTTGAAGGATTTCAAGTGTAGTCACTGGGTAACCAGGTTGAAGTGTTTTGTTGCTCTTTTCATTTGGTTATATTTGAAAATAAATAAATAAATGATGTAGGAATGCTTCTGCAAATGTGTGGTGCAGAAATGAATGCACATTTTAAGGGCCCTAAATCTTAAACAATTGAGGGAGTGTTCTATAGGAAAAATGACTCAAAACTACAAATATAAAATGAGGAACAGAGTTGTCCTGGGAGGGCAGAGCTTGAGTTTCATCGTCTCACAATATATCCACTAATTTCTGGTATTGTGGAAAGGGTTGTATTGATATTTCTGGCTTTAGATGGAAAGCAAAGTCGATTTTTAAATTTGAGAACTGCTTGAAGCACTCTCTCCACCATTCATCAGAAGCTCTGAGCTTTTTTTCCTTTTTCTTTCTTAACCTTTCTTGTATCTCACTATTCAATGCCCCCTGACTCAGAGAGCCCACGTTAAACACTTGTTTTTGTTTTGGCACTTGCCTTAGAATTGATTTGGAGGTTTTCTGTTTGTTTCATCCTTCCATACAAGTGTATACATCCTTTGTAGCAACATACCTCAGAGGGTTAATATGAGTGCATCTGAAACGGTATGGGACTGGGAGATGAGATGGAAGAAACATGCTGAGAGTTTTGCAGTCCACATTTTAGAGATTCCCTTGTCTCAGGAAAAAAAAAAAATGCTGGAAATATTCCAGGAGACTGTTAAACAGTGGTATTCCAAAGCTTCACTTTTTTAAGATCAAAGACCCTGGAATGTTTAAGGGTCTTTATTGAGTTGGAATCTCTGCCTCTTTTTGTTCAACATTCCTATCTCCATTGAAATCTCATTGAACATGTTGTATATCTCTTACCCTACCTGTGAAGCCATTTTTCCATAGGAAATGGTGTCTATCCTGTGAATTGCATTCTCTAAAGAAATAATGCTTTGCTCTTCGTGAAATGGAGAGAAAGATGAGCTGCCTAATTTATTCCATTCCCAGGGCTTTGGAACAGAAGTTGAAATGAATGAAAATAATTGAGTCTGTAGGCCTGGTCTGCAGATATGAAAAATGTCTGGAAACTGTTGAGTATGGAATGGCTTTAATTTATTCTGTGGATTGTAGCCCATGATCTGCCTGTTTGTTGTTAACTTTCATAAAAGAGAAAGAAATGCAGAGAGCAAAAGCTTTCAGAATGACTATGGTTGGAAGGAACCAGTACTTGAAGCTCTGTAATTGTTATTTACATTGAACAATGGGGTATTGTTCTGGAGGAGTGAGTGGAAGAGGAGGAGGACAGAACCTGGTACAGTCAGACTGACATCCTCATAAGTGGGATCTCAAATGGTTTATAGCCATTGAATGACTTCCTTCCCTCATTAGCAAGTAGGCCTGTGGATGCTGTGGAATGACGAAAGCTAAGACTTAGTGTGAGTAATAGGAGGTCCTAAGAACATAGCTTCTCCCTCTACACTGAGAATATTGTCTCTAGACTTTCTGCACGTGACTCAAATGCCAACATGTTTGATATTGACTAAAGCATGACAAACTTTACTTTCTTTTATGTTTCTACTCCAATACTTATGGTTCGTTAAATGATTATAATAGGGCTGTCTGGTAATACCACATGGGTATAGGTGGAGAATACCCTTTAACATACCTTTCTTTGTTTCTGGGTTTTCACATTTTTCTTTAATTGCACAGGCCTGCGCTACTGAGAACTGTAACCCCAGGCTCCTCGCAAAGCAGTTGACTTTGACATCCTGGATGACTTATAGCAACACTGAGTCATCAGGCCTTTGGCTCTCATGTCTTCTAAATAAGAAGTAGGAGAAAGCAATTCCTGCTTCCATCCCATAGAGAGGATGGAAGGTTTTCCATGCCTCATTATCATACCCTTAATCTCCCTCCTCCCCTTTTAAAAGGTAGTATTGAAACCATCTGGGTTGCTTTGAAGTAAGTTTATTTTACTAAATTAAACTTTCTCGGATTGTGCCTTTAGAAAACATACTATGCCATGTAACATTTGATTAATTCTGGCACAATTACACCTGTGTTTATAAATCTGACAATTTAGTTTGTGGACAAAGAAAGCTAGAGTCAGAAATTTGTGCAAAATTAAGTCTACCGGTAGGCTCCACGGTTTTTTTCTTTTTTTTTCCTTTTTGATATTATTTGGGATTAAATGTTTCCTTGTGTGGGTAAATATCTTTGGTTTTCAGGATTAGGTTATTTAAAGAGACAGTGTAGTACAGTAATAAAAACATAGAACTTAGAGCCAGGTTCAAATCTTAGGTCTACAACTTTACTGTATAACTTTAGGAAACTTGCTTTGCTTCCCTGGACCCCATTAATCTCAACTATTAAATGCTGACTGTGGTGGCCAGCTTCCAAGATGGCCTCTGATTCCTTCCTCTTGGTCTGCAGGCCTGTGTGTAGTCTCCTGTCATGTTCATTAGGACTGACTTGTATAACCAATGGGTTATTGTAAAAATGAGGATGTGTGACTTCTGAGGTT